GACACCTAGAACTTCAAGCTACCAAAGGGAAAACTATATGTAAACCAGCCACTTACCTAAGCCTTATATAGTCAGCACTATATAAATAAAAGTGATTTAAAATTCAAATCAATATTAACTTAATTGTATATATCTTTTTAGATACGAGTCCTCAGGTTTAGAACGATAATTTATAAAGACATTGACAACACGGAGGGGCAGCAGCTCTGGTCTCTGCAGTTGCCAAACTTCAGCAGAACATTCTAAATTTTAACCTTGCAATTTTGTACAGCCAGATTTTGGGATGGAGGCCTAAAAACCTACTTTAGGAAATGAAAGCCTAGTGAGGTTTTTTTTCTTCAGTATAATTCACTTACTAAATGCTTCTCTGTGTAAGATAAGTATTGGATACATCAGAAATATATTAGGAGTATTTAAAGCAAGGATGTCATATATTCTGAGAGGCAGCTGAAGAACAAAACTCCCTTATTTTCAAGATGGAGCCGTAGTGTTCATGTAGCAAATGCTGTTACTTCAAGCTGCAGCGCTTTGGTACTAACTTCTGTATTCTAAAAACTTCACAACCTTTTTTTTTTTAACTTTACCTTCTGTAAATGGTATAATACCGTAATACCATTAGCAGTAGTTTTGGTACTGACAGACCTTGCGTTCACAAGTCAGTAGCCAATACTTCGATGTTAGGTGACATTTATTTATAGTTATCTGAACATTCTATTCAGTAAAACAGGCTCATTCATTTCAAATTTTGTATTTTTAGAAATTTTAGGACCACAGCGCTGATGCTGTCCTCACACTGTCGTCTGTGACCATCCCTCCCCCATGAGACAGGCTCGACTAGCGCTGGATGTAGCAACAAAAGAAGTGCCATGTTTTGTACGCCATAAAATAGCGTCTCCTGCCACCCCTGAGACCAGCAACAAATTCTGGACTGCCCTGAGCTGGATGGCTCCGTAAGCCGCACCGCTGCCAAACCTTCGGATCCCACGAACAAGCGTTTCGAATACGCTTGTCGGTGTTGTGGAGACACGCGTGCGGGGGGGGGTGAGTTGCAGGGGATGCGGGGCGGGCTGCGGTGTGCCAGACCTTCACACACAGTTTTAGCAGCGAGTAGCTGCGTTTCTTAGCTGCATCCAGAGGTGTGCGCGTTCAGCCTGCGCTGCCGCAGCACTGCTGAAGTCAGCCTGAGAGAAGGGGTCTGCATTAACCTCACAGCAAACTCCTGTGCAAGGGACGATGGGGACTTCACATCACACGTTCTTCTCATGGCCTGAGAGAGCAACTATGAACTTTAACCCATCCTGCGTGGTACTGGGCCCAGGCCAGGCCAGGTGCTGGACGGAGCTGCAGCCACAGCTCACCTTGGTACTGGAACTACCAAGGGTGACGGTTATAGCCCCTTCCTTTATGAATGAACAGCCCTTCCTAAACCCTGCTAGCGTACCAGACCAATAAACTAAATGGCAGTACCTTTAAAACCTACTACGCAAGTCAAACTGTCAGTTTATAATGCCACTGGGAAGAGCCTACAGACGACTAATGACAAGGGATGGTTTTTCATATTGGACCACACAAAAGATGCTCTTTGGCAGCAACTTTATCAGTTTTCTGCCATGTGACGCGCTTACTTGATGACCGGATGTCAGCAATGGAGCTACTCGGGCCATGAACGCGTAAGGCAAGAGGGAGCTCTCGGACGTGTACAAGCCACGGGAACCAACACGCATCTCCCTTCCCTGGAGGGGTGCCCAGGCAGGAAAGCAGGACGGCGTGCTGGGAGGACTGCCTCGCCGATGCTGTAACACATTCTGCCACGCTGCTCGAGCGTTCCTGGGGATATTTCTGGCTACAGTGTCTGATAACCCTTTCCAGATGTAGGATGTATTATTAAGGCAGTGGAGGATCAGACCCAAGATTGCATAAGCAATATGTACATTATTTAATCTTGTCATCCAACAGCTGTATGTATCACAATGGAATTTGGCACAAATCATCATGACTGGAAAGTTACAGATGTCTAGAACTGGATTAAAAACTTCTAAGACTTCTAGCAGGGAGCACAGGTATGTGGAAGACTGCACAAAGCCTGTCATCTCCATTAGTCCTTCACCTTTAAAACTCAAATAGCTGTAACTAGTTTTTTAAAGTAATAAAACCAGAAGTCAACAACAACCTTACCGGCGATCGTTGCCATGAACGTCTTTTGCCAGGAAAGGGGCTACAGCAAAGGCGGGAGGATTGCGGAGAACATTGAAGATGCTAAAGCAACTACTGTGGCAACTGCAGACACTGGAAGGTTGACATAGGGCTGATGCGGTAACTGGCTGGATGGGCCCGTGGGCGACAGAGTAAACAAATCTTGGAATAAATATCCAGACAAGTCTGCAAAACAGTTCTGTATCACACTGCGCTATGTGTTTTCCTCAGTTCTGTGAGCGTGGCTTACTTCCAGAGCAAGCCACCCTCCCACTGCTTCCTCGTGGCTGGTTCGGGGGGCCGG